GCTCAGAAAAGGTTAAATACCTCCTGACATTGGAGATAAAATGACTCAAGGTGGGGAAACGTACATAATTGGCTATTTAAGTGTCTTAATTAGGCTCCCAGCAGCCAGTTTTCCTGCTGCTGGCAAAACAGCATGGCCCATGTCACTTTACTGATCTTCCTGCCACCCACTGCCAAGGAGCTAATAAAACTATAGTCCTGAATTTTCGAAATTGTTTGGCAGTTTTGGATGATAATCTATCCTTGTTGAGTGATGGTATGAAGTACAACATTCTGTGATGTATTCAAATCCTACATTAGGATTTAAAAAAGACACATCTATGCAGGAAGATAGAATGCAGATTGCAGCTTTATTGTTTGGATAATTAGCTGGGTGATCCGATCATCTCTTAGCAAAATGCTGAAATGACTGATTTAACAGATGACATGATCAAATTACCAATCACTTGGTGGGTCTGTTTACAATGAGAAAGAGTTACAGCAAAATGTTAAGATTCGCATCCAGAAATAGAGTGAAGGGTTTTGACAGCATGCCATGGAAATGACACATACCATTAACTGACAGATTGCTACTGTCCACCACAGCAATGCTGTGCCAGAATGGCATGAAATGTTCAAACTCAGCAATGCCATAATCATCAATCATTCTTTATTGAGCTTTAGAACTTTGGATTCTTCTTGATACTTTCAAGTATCGGCTACCAGAGGAAAATGGTTAGGAAAGCTAAATCCAAAAAAAAAACATAATTTTGGTGTGTAATATTGAATCAGTGTTAATATACATTGGGCTTATAGATTCAGGTCAATCATGTTTAACAGTGACCCTTTCATACAGACAATAGAAAGGTATGACAGCTGTTATATTGTATGCACATCCATGAGATACTGTCTCAATCTTTCCCCTCATTATCATTATTACTAACGTACAGAACATAAATGTGAGATAGAGTAAATGTGGTTTATCAACTCTGATATTTGGTCTTCTGGCAATTCACTAGCTTGGTGGCTTGAAGCAGGTTTTGATCTCAGAGTGCATTAAATTTTTGGTATTGTTCATCATCTCACTTACACTTCTCCTTCACATGCACACACCGTGCATCATCTACTCAATTGATAGCAAACATAGATGGGATAATATAATGAAAAGATTTGAAGATTTTGTGCTCTGAATATTATGACAATGTTCTGATTCAGTGTGTTGAAACACCACATTTCATGGCGGAAATGGACACAGGTTTTGACCAAATTCATGAATTTCTGAAGTCAGATCTTCATTTCCCAATGGAGGCGCAAATCAGTTTATGAAATGCTGAATTTAGTTTACTTTCTGCACACGATTTGTGTGTCTTGGTGTAGCGTTTTGAAGCTGTAATGAAATAAGGACCTGTTTGGAGGGTTTGAGTGTACCGGGGAATAGTTGGGAGTCTGGAACATTCTAAAAAGTGCAAGCTGTTCCTACAATTTCAAATGTCATGATTAGATGCTATATTGTAATGTGTTTTAAATGAATCGTTTATCATAAAAGTCTGTCCTAAAAAATTAAGTTAACAACTACATTGACCAAAATTGTGACATTTCCAAAATGTCACAATATATTCAAAAATGTAGAAAAATGTGTTGACAAACGCCCCTAGCCATGTTTTGCACTGGAATCTTAATGTACAGACAGGTTTGGTTGCAGAAATAAAGCCTCTTACTTTTGTAAAGTACAAATTAATCTGAATGCTTGCTCCTCTCCACTGACAGACAGGTAAATCTGCTTTGAAAAGGACAGCATGCCATTTGCTCTTTCAATTTTGGGCTCTGGCATTCATAATAATGTTGCAATAGTGATGGCTTTTGTGAATTTGGCTCAATTCCATAAGCTCTGATCTGCTGACACAGCTGTGCAGGTGAATGATTGACAGTTTCATGAGGCTGCAATAACATACTTAGCATTTAATGTTCAGAGTAAATCGTTGTTTGTTTTCACAATTTAATGGCCACTTAAAAGTCTTACATTTTTATTTCAATGAAGACGTCATTTTACAATGCCAGTAGTAACAAGCACTGGAATGAGAATTTTATTACAGAATTACAAATTTAACTTAATTATTTTTTCCTGCACTGAAATGATTCCTAATGTTATGGTCTGGCTGCTGAGCACTATGAATAATAAATACTGAATGACTAGCTATGTAGATTTACGGAGAAAGGAAAGCCATGGGTGATCTGAGGGGCTTCGATAATCTGAGGGAGCATGGGGTGGTATGGTGGAACTGAAGAAGCTTGAAGTAGCATGGGGAATGGTAAGTGGTATGGAAAATGGGTGTAGGGCGAGGTTCAGGGGGCCTTTAAATATTGAGAGCTGGGATGCTGTGTTGACGAACTGAAGTGGGCCTTCTAACCAAGCACCTCTGCTCGTACACTTGACCTGCATTCCTTCACAGCTTTTCAAACTGTACTGCAAACTCAAATGCTGCACAAGAAAACAAAAATACTGTGCAAAGTCAGGCAAGGATTGGGTGTGCAGTTCTGAAGCCACAAACGTGCACTGAAAAATCTGAGCACCCTCATCTCAGTAGCTGTTGGAGAGGCAAAGGGGAGAAAAAATAATCAGCATACATCTTGAAGACAGTCCAAATGCAGAAGCATCTTGTCAGTCTTCCTGGAAGACAGGCAGCTCAGGAAGACAGCAAAAATTCAACATATAAGTGAAAATGCCAGACAACTGGCCACTCAGATTATGAGGATAAAAGACAATCTTGACATTTTGATTGCAGACCCTTTTGTCTTAGCCCAAATATTGGCAGACCACTGTGCATCCCTTCTGAGAGAGAAGATGTACTGAACTGAGACAAATCAACATTATACACATTTTCAAAATAAGATAAAGCTAACATAAAGGAGGGAATGCATTGAAATTTCTAATTAAAAATAAAATGATGAGGTACCTAATGAGCGCGTAATTAGATGCATCAACTCAAGTTTCAGAATAGAAGATTGTGCTTGACAAGTTATGAGGTGCTGAGATAAGCTGATGAACGAAATGCAGTGAAATGTGGGCTACCAAAAAAGCCTTTGATTCAGGAGACTAGGAGATAAGGTGACAGGTCATGAAATAGAAAGGAGATCACGTCAGAAGTATGCAATTGGAGTTCAATATGCCACAGGGCTTAATTCCAGGATGGCTTCTGTTCTTCAATGGTTTTGTTACACAGCTCAAGTGCGTGGTGTCTAATTTTCATATTACAAAATATTAACAGCTGAACAGATCCCCAATCCATCCATGTGTTAAATTCAACTCCATTAGTCAATGTACACTGCCTTCCAAAAAAAAGTCTCATTTCCTATCCTAAAGGAAGACACTCCAAAATCTCTAAGACAGGTGAAATGGAATTTATTTTACAGCCTCCAAACAGTATTATATTTCAATAGCGGAAGTGCTTATCAAAATGCTGGTTTTCAATATAAATAAAATTAAAGAAGTAACAGTAACTATAATTCTCTCAATATTGAAATTTTAAATAATTACACTCATAAGGATTGCTTAAATATGCCATAAATGTTGAATTTTACAATGTGATTATGCTTTAAGGTGTACTTTTATATCAAAGTAAAATGGAGTATAACAAAACAGAGCAAACTTAAACAAAAACCCACTGAAAAACAGAGTGAAAGGTTTAGCACCTCCATTTAGAATAGAGACCCAACTTCTGGTAAGACACACGCAAAAAAAGAACTGGAACTCTCCTCGAGACAGCTCTTTCCTGTTTTGAAAGAAATGCTGGAGACCAGAAGTGAAATTCGCAATCAGGAAAACAATACTACTAGAGTTGATTAAAGAATATAAACGGGTTAGATACAGGCACTCAGGATCATCAGGTGAACCTTAACAGATCCGGAAAATGCAAGCAGTGCAGAATGACTGATGACAGTCAAAGGAAATTTTGAATAGTGTGGTGGGGAATGTTGAACCTCTACTGGACAGCAAGGAGAGAGTTATCTTTTCACACTACACATCTATCAGAAGCGTGATATCGGGTGAAAGCATTTTGTAAGGCAATTTCAGTTGCGATAATACAAAATCGATTTTGGTTTGATGCATCAATTTCCTTTTAACTCTTGCTTGATTTATGATGATTTAGTCTGGTGCAATAACAAAGTCTTAAAATGTGAAATTTTGCCTTTTGGTGATTTCTAGTGTATGTTTGACAGCTTCATTTCTTTTTGAAGGTCAATTTCAATGGAGATCGTAGTGAATAGTTTAAACACAACTGCAACTTGTTTCACCTTGTTATTTTCTCCTACCCCAGTCCATGCGTAAATTACTACTGCCACGACATCACGGCTGGTATAATTATACCTTGCTGGCTTGTAGGACTTGTTCAGTCCACAAGACTAGCAAGCTAAATTAATAGATTTATCCAAGTCATTACAACTGACAGTAACTGCAAATTTGAACAAATTGTGTCAACAAGGAGATTCCCTTGAAAACCAGAGCCAAATGTTACTGTGCCGTTATTTCAGAACCTTATGGCACCATCTTGTTTTGTAGCCTACTCTCAATTGCATATTTATTTGAAGCATCACAAATACCTTACCTGGAAAAGGAAGTGCTAAAAACGGTGCAACCTTTAAAAGAAAAGATAGTTACAAAACATTTGTTCATACATTAACCCAAACCACAAGCATAATTTAAAATGCAGGACACTGTAGAAAGGGGGGTCCCGGTCACCAGGTCATTATCAATGACAGCAGAAATAGTAGAGAGTTTTCATGCACAACTCACTAGTTAATTTGGTAACAATTTGCTATATCAAGAAATGCAAATATCTCCCAACACCATGATTTCATATAAATTTAAGGCATACTGTAGATGTACGAAAAATAATCTATATTAAAATGTACTTATTAACTAAGTTCTCAAATTCCTACCACTATTTTAGGCCAATTTTAAACAGCAACCCGTCACATTATTTTTAATCGGACCAGTGCCAACAGTAAAAACAATTTCCTTACCTGAGGCAGGTGAAGCTGAAGACCTTCACTGGGAATAGGTTGCCGCGATGGTGTTGAATCCAGTTGCATGTTAAACAGAATCTGAAGAGCTCCTTGAGCAGCACGAGCCTTTGCCAACTTCTTGTTCCTCCCTGACCCTTCAAAGGTTCGACCATCTACAGTCACTGCCATGATGAAATTCTTTGCATGGCTTTCTCCACTCTCCGAAATAAACTCATATTTGAGTCCTGGGCGCAGTTCATTCAGGATCATTACTGGGTTCTTACCACTGGTCATGGCAAAAGGAGATGGAGCCATCAGTGTTGACTGACCTACACTACTTCCTCCAACACCACACGAGATGCCAAAAGAGTTATAATCACCTGAACTGAAAGAACCATCTCCATTGGAGCCCAAGATATAAGGATCATCTCCTTGCACTGGGGTTTCAAATCCATTAAAGAGAGTATCTGGAAAATCAGAATGATCTGACGTAAAATCTGTATTAACATTCAGCATTCGACCCATAGCCAAATGGGCCTCAGAGGCATTTGGAAACTGAACAAAGGATCTCAGGGCTTTTTCTGCTACATGCAACTTGGCTTTTTTCTTGGTGGGCCCAGATCCTTCAAAGTTTTGTCCATTGACCTCCACGGCCATGATAAAAACAGGAGCATGGACAGGGCCAGATTGAGATAACAGTTTGTACTGCAGGCCGGGTTTAATCTCATTTAATTGCATTAATGCGTTCTTTGGTAGAATAGGGCCTGGCGTTTTCTTCCTCTTCTTGGCACGAAACTTAGGATGTGAGTGACCATTATTTCCCTCTTCCAGTGGCCGTTTTCTGTTTATGGAGGAATTGCTGCCATTTGAAAGCTGTGCCTCGCCAGGTGCTTGAGTGCTTTCCTTAAGAGAGATGTTCTCCAGATTACGGTTCTCTTTTACGTCAGTGCTGCATGAACCTGTGGTGCCCAGAAAGAGCAACTTACATGCCTTCGTTGTAGGATCTTGTAAATGCAAAATTTAGAGATTCTTCATCTATCTTTGCAACAGAACGAGTGATGTGTTTGAGATACATCTTGGGATGGGGTGTTTGGATGTAAGCAAATAGCAGAATGCAACAAAATAGGTTTACGGAAAAAAAATTAAGAAATACGAACACAAAGAAAGAGAATCCAAATAACTAATAACCTAAAGCAGCCCTAAACGTTACTGAATTCCCAAGGATAAGAACAGAAGATATCTCTGTGCATGTAACTTAAGAAAGAATATTTATACTCAACATTATCATGCAACAGGGTTCTACACTTCAATAGTGTCTAGTCCATAAATACGTAGAACATTAAAATTCCACATCTCAAGTGGCAACGAACGCATCATTACTACTGATTTTTCAAACATGTTTGTAGAACTGTGTAACTGTCAATGTCAAATACATTTAACTACAAGTTATGACTACGACTGACAGAATTCTTGCCATTCAACCTTTAAAGGAGCAATTTTTTTCTTTAGAAATGTTATTGAATGTTTTGCAGTATAGAGAACCAAGGGGTCTCCAGTTTCTTTGCCAAGTCACTCTACGAATCATTGCTCGAATACAAACAGAAATAACTTTTGCTTTCATCACTGCCTTATAGAAAATACATGTCCATGCAGTGATTGGCCAACTTATGTTCTACTACATCAATGATCAGTACCACCAGGCTTGCTAAAAAGATATACTTTCAAAGATACATCATTCTATAGATACTGTATGTGCTTTTTGTAGATACCTTCAGTAAATTTTATCTCTTTCAGCCTTACCCTGCACACATGCTGAAATTTAGTTGCTAGAGGTAATTCTTTAATTTTCTGTATAGAATAATTTAACTTAGAATGAGTGCAGAATAGATTTAATTGAAATGATACTAGGTCAAGGAACTCATACATTTAACAAAAAGTTATATGTAGAAATCAAAGTTATCAAAGGGGGTTAACAGGAGATTTAATAATGATGGACTTAATGAGGATACCCTGTTTCCAGTGTTAGAAAGGCCACTAATCAGAGAACACAGATTTGAAGTGATTAGCAAAAGACAAAAATGTGAGCAAAGTTTTTGTTTCAAGAATTAATGATAATCTGGAAAACAGTCTAATTAGTGGTGGAAGCACATTCAGTAATAATTTGCAAAATGAAATCTGATAAACACTTGAAAAGGGAAAATAAATAGTCTATGGGGAAAGTGGAGAACCAAATGGATAAATCAAGCAAAGCAGCATAATGGTCAAAATAGGCTAATTCTATACTGTATTGCTCAAGGCAGAATTTACTTTAATGTTCTTTCTGTTCATACAAAACCTGTACTGCGGCATTAAATTTCAATAAGAGTGTTAAATTATACAATTTTAGATGTCAGGGCTCTTTGGTTACTCTAAACCCACTGTATGCCCTTCACACTCACAGCAAAATATGAATAAGATTTTAAGACACTGCAGCATGTCTAAAAACAGGAGATCATACCACATGGAATATTTTCGGAATAATCCTAGTTCTACACCAATGAGGTAGGTCTCACAGTTACAGGAATTGTGCTGACAGTGCAAGCATTAGAGAATAAAGTCATCCAAAATGTCAGGTAGAATTCATTCTTCCTAGCTCATTCACACACAGTGTGTGAGGTGTTGGGGAATATGTGGAGGTGGGGATTTTAAACACACTATTTTCTCATTCACATCACCTCATTCCATTCACAAAGCTGATAGAATAGCAATCAAATTTTCATTTATAACATCCTTCAGCAAAAGGTCCATAGGTTACTCATTTGGAGCTCAGAAAAATATCTGCAATGCCAGAGCGAGAATTCCTAACATCAGACAGACACGTGGACAAGAAAGGATAAAACAGTTGGAAAAGCATTGCCGGAAGTAAAAAGAAAAACAGGTTATTTTCATTTATAAAGAAAAACTTGTTACCAAACATAGACATCACCTTGACCCCATTTTGACACGTCTGGGGATACCTGATTGCTGATGACAAAGACCTGATGTGGATTTCGACAGCCCCACACACCATTACAAAGACATTGACCATAATATTGACAATTTCAAGAACAATTATTTTCAGCTCAGGCAGGAATTGTGTACTATAACTGGAAGCTAGAATTTATGTATTAGTTTAGATTTTATCTAACCGATTAGCATTAGAATTTTGGCACCGTGCAGAAGGATATGTGATGTAGCTGTACATACGAAACATCTGCAGACACAGATAGATTTGGAGTAACAACTGTAACAACTCTAGAGTAACTGTAACAACTTATAGAGTGACAACTCTATAGTTGCCTTTTAGTTGAAGGAAATGCATTCAACTGCAAGTCAAGTTTAAAGAAATTAGCGAGTATATCAATTATTTCCAATTTAAAACAGTCAAAGGATCTTTGAGTAAGATTATGTGGAAGAACTACTGCCATAACTTAGATTCTACAGAAACAGGAAGGAAGTTTAAGCGTCAATTCATTCATTAGTAAGATGGAGCAGTGGAATCATTTAGAGGTAGGCATCGAGTGAACAAGGTTAGTTATGAACAAACCTTTGCTCAATAATTCTCGAAAAAGAAAGCAGAAAGGATGAAGTGTGACAGCACTCAGGATATTTTAGCTACAATCAACATAATTATTTTGAATGATAATAAATTAGTTTTGATATTGGAAAATAATGAAAGAAATAGCTTTACAATATTATTCAAGACATTAAATTATTACATGTGTCTTTGTTCACCTTTAGCGAGAAAACACAAAAACAGGCATAAATTGTGCTACAAGGTTTTACAAATTGTGCACAGTGTAAATTCCAGAATTGGTAACAAACATTTTTTGGGATATCTAAACAATGGTAAGGCTGGATAAACAAGCCTTCATCATAATGTAGCCCTTGTTACTACTTAGCTTTCAAATGTGGCATCATTAGGACTTGTTGCGTGATCACCATTTTACTCTTTCTTCCCCTTTCTTTAGTTGATCTTGTTAAGGCTAGTATTTAAATCAATACAAAGGTGCGTCAATGCAAAATTACATCAGACTGCAACATAATTATTCTGTTGCAGTTCCTTCGATCTTGCAAATTATTTTGGCACAGGAGTTAAATTGACTTGTAATATATTGTTTTGCTAGTAGTAGAGAATTGACAGCATATTTCTGCTACTGTTGTATTCCAGTGTGGTGCAAACGGTGTGCTCCCTTCTTTTAAAAAGAAATAATTAGCTTGAAATTTATGACCTTGAGTTATAAAGACTAAAGGAAAACACCACATTGCAAGCTTTTGAGTCATGGATCCATGCTTATTGACAGCCAGGAATGAGTGGTGAAATGAAGAATAATTGCATATCCAGCAGAATGTTCACCAAATTAATATCTTGTTCGTGTGTGTTTTCCAAGGAAAGGTACCCAGATCTAGAACAACACAACCGTCAAATGTTTTTGATCAAACAAATTCTCTTCCAAAAGGACCAATTCCAATTTTAAAATATACGAGAACGACCAAACAGGTGTGTTCTAATGTTGGTTTAAAGTGTGCAGCAAGTGAGGTATTGCACCAATCTTCCAAAAGCACTGGGTTTCATCCAACAAATTCTAATAACAAGGCAAGTCATACTGGAAACATCAGTCAACAGCACTACAATCACCTGCTGTGAGGCTTTCAGCAGTACACGATACTCCACTTGGCAGGTTGCCCAGATTGCTTGATCATTGGTGAGGACGGAGAATTAGATTTTCAATCAAAACAAAGGTTTGCATTTTTAGGATCAGGGCTTGTCTACTTAAACCGTTAGATTAACACAAGCAAAGACTACTGCAGGGAGGACTGGAGAATTGGGGCTTCATGTTTATGCAGCTGTGGTTAACATCAGATCAAGCACCTTACATAGCATTTGCTATTGCAGTGATAAGCAAAGTTAGCACCTGATAAAGAAGGAATTTAAGGAATGAACAAATAATAAAGGGATAATAGATTATTTTCAACACCAAATGCTGTGGTTTACCTTGACTAAATGATGTAATTGTAGGATGTGAGGCAGGATAAAATTGGAATTTAAAACAGTGGGCTAAAATTAACAAATCACATTAGCTTTTCTGATGAAGGGTCGAGGCCCGAAACGTCAGCCTCTCTGCTCCTATGATGCTGCTTGGCCTGCTGTGTTCATCCAGCCCTGCACCTTGTTGTCTCAAATCACATTAGTTATCTGTTTCATAATCAGCAACCAATCATCAAGAAAAAGTACAAAAAACATCCAGAGTTTTCTTGATCATCTATAATTTACACCAACTAAAGATGCATAAACATATATTCCAAAGAATTAAATTAGTCTAGCCTCATGGACATTTAACAGTTTAAAAAGAAAACTCAAGAACTGACATTGGCTTGAAGAACCAATCACTGGTGGGGATTTTAAAACAGAGATTTTAAGATCAGACCAGATCACCATAAGAATAAGAAAAATTTGTCTATTTTGTTTCATGAATTGTACTGAAGATAGCAAGGATTTGAACATGGTATTTGTACAATAAGTCTTCATTTAAAGTTGAGACTGTGTTTCTGTAAATTGCATCTTTGAGGGAATCACAGACAACCATGTGAAAACCGAGTTTTGTTTTCTCCAAGCAAGAAATACCCAGAAGAACCTTTGTACAGTTGGAAATGCTGTACAGTATTCATGCAGTACTGGGTATTTCTAGCTGAAATAATCTGTAAACTAAAATAAAGCACTAAATATAAAAAAACCTGAACAGTTATGTGCTTTAGGACCTTTTGCAGCAAAGGAAAACTTTAAAGCACTACCAAGTTAGAATTTATAGACAAATGCCTACACGTATAAATAACTTTTAAAATATATATAAAAATATAAAAGAAACACAACCATGTAGGTACTGTAAACACATCAAAATTACACTCACCTGATGAAGGTTTAATTGACAGGTGTACCCTA